GTGTACAGAATGTCAAGAGGTCTTTTTGCCTCTTTTTCTTTTCTTGGCGATTTAGAACAGAGCAAATAGTCAGATTGAGGAGAATGTCTAGGAATTTCCATCTTAGGTGTTGGGGATTTTCATGGTATTCATTACCATCTTAGAAGTTAGAACATGAATGTACATTTTGGCTTTGATTTTAATCTTAACTTCTTATCCAAAAGGCTCTTCCTTAGACTGCACGAATGTACATTTGCCAGTTCACTTTCTAGTGACAAACTTCTCCATCCATTTGAGTTTCATTCTTGCGAATGTACTCCCCACGCGAGTTGGTATTGCACTTGTGGATCTCTTTGAAACGCACAAAGCAAGAGTTGGCCATTCTGATCTTAAATTAAGAATTTTTTTCTAAATAACACTAATAGATAACTTTCAGCAATTGCAATCAAACCAAAAATACCAATTATATATTGTAAGGGTCTCAAAAAGAGTTTAAAAAGTACTTTAAGATTTAGAAAAGTACATCTGCCATCACAATCCAGTATAAAATGAAAAAGGGTAAAAAGGAAAAGGGTGAAAAAAAGAAGCTGGTGCATCCATCAATTTCTTCCAATTTCTATATCAAAACTAATTTGATTGTAAGCACTTCAAATAGAACCTACAAAATCATTGAAAACAAATTGGCTGTATATAACTAAAAATGCATTTGATAACTACTTATTTTTCACTCATAACTAAAACTTTTCATAAAATTATATACCTTAACTAAATCATTAGCTCCTAATTATTTTCACAGTAAAAACGCAACCATAAGTTAAAGTATTGGACCTGAATCTTTCATGATTCTATAAAGCATAATGAATGATGTACATAAAACATTGATACATGAATATGCATAAACAAGTAGATTTTTAAACATGTAGAAGTTTCCCAAAGTTCAGATTTTGTAAAGGTGAATTGCTCATAAGCATGTAATGGGTTGGATGGATCTAGTATATAGAAAAAAGAATCATCAACATTGAAATTGACAATGTTGAAAGGGATATTAATGTATAACGCATGCACTTAATTCTCAATTACCTCAAATGACTTCTCTGTAAGGTTGGAAAAATCATTAACCTCTTCAGCTTGCATTTCATTCCAATGTTGAGATAGATTAACCTCTTTAAAAAAAAAAAAAAAAAAAAAAAAAATAGATGTTATAAATAAAATACAAAGTTTACATTTCACCGAATTAGATGTATACATTTATAAACTCTAAATTGATTAAAATATGGACAATTCAATTATGGAATGACTTTCTTGTGTTGCCATCTTATCAAGAATTTACGAAGTAGGAGGACTTATGGTTGGTAAAACAACATCATTCCCAGCAGTTGGAATGCTTTGATGAGCCTGCAAGAGAAATTAATATATGTTCATAATTAATATTATATGCACAAAATGAGTAATTTACAATTTTAATCATATAAGAGCAATGATTGATTCTTAAAGTGAAAAAAACTATTTGATCAGACCTAATACAATTCTCCACAGTTGACTAGTGGAAGATGTCTTACTATTGTCAATAGGTAAGTCATTATTAGAGAAATCTAAAGAAAGTACATTTCTAAATATTGATCAATTTGTCCTCTTTGTTTACTAATAATATGTTACCTTTTCCATTTTTGGCACTTACAACTCATTTTGATCAATTTGTCCTCTTTGTTTTCCTTGAAAGACTTGTAAACAGATTATAGAAATAGAAACTTAATGTTGATAAATGAAAACCAACAAAATTGGTAAGTAAAGAAAAAAAAAATAAAAGCATACCTTATTTCCTTTTTTAGCGATTTTGTCAACAAGTGATTGTTTCCTGTTTAAAGGTGGGCGACCTTTTGTTTTTTATTTTAATTATAGGGGAGAGTAATTTCTTCTAAGAACCTGATGGTTCATGAAGCTTATTTACAACAATTGCTTGACTATCATGGTAACATATGACTGCCTAAATTTCAAAGAACCCGATGTATCAGCGAGTAACCCGAAAACTAATCTGATAACAAATCCCAAACGCAGAAGCAAGAAAAAGAGAAGGGGTCTCTAGAGATGTACACCACCTCTAAGACTCCAAAGTGATCTTCTAAGAAGTCACAAAACTCATAAAGAAACAAATGCAAAAGTTAGGGTTTAATATAGACAAGGTATTGAATTGGGGTTAAAATGGTCATTTCAAACAGAAATGGATGATACCATACATACTATTTGATAGACAACAAAAAATTAATAAATTTAGATTCAAAAATCACTTGATTTGGTATTGAACGAAGATCCTACCGACCGGATCTCAGTGTAGATCCGTCGGCCGTGTGAGCAACATAGAATTGTCAATGCTGGGTTTAAATCCTAGAGAGTCACGTTGCTGGAATTCGTGAATTCATCACGTTGCTAGACTTTGTATGGATGAAAGTCACGTTGGAGATTTTAATTTAAAGTGTTGTTACTTTTGGTGTGTTACGCGTTGTGGTTGGACGGTTACACTTGTTGTGCAAAAGATCTGGCCGTGTGAGGAACACGGGCTTCGGAGTCTGCCAGGAGTGGAGACCTTCAAAACCAGCTGGCGGTTGGAAAGGATTGGACACGTTACTGGACTTCGCCTAGATGAACACCGATTGTAATTTTCATGGAAAGGGATAGGTTCAAATCCCATGCATCACGTTACTGGTTTAACGTGATCTAAGCTAGATAACTAATCACTCGTAGGATATATTTCTATACGTTTCCCACAGACGGCGCCAAAGTATAGGTGCAAAAATTCGTTAGACTTTGACAAGTCAACGAAATCTCTGTAATTACTACACCCAAAATAATAATGGAGAAAAAATTTTGAACTAGAGAAATTGTATAGAGATGAGGGAGTATTTCGATGATATGACGGAACCTAAGATTACCTAGATTGCCTACATATCCCGCCTCATAGAGCGTAAGAATTAGGTCATAACGTAGTTCTGGCAATGAGAATTAGAATTGGATCTCTTTTTTGGGGGTTTTGCTCTTTTTTCTCTTTCTCTATTGAGGATCCTAACCCCTTTTTATATAAGGAAAACCCTCATCGAGTCCTTTTAGACCTCGCATTGCTTGTCCCTTAAGAATCTGAATCACCTTATACTATCCTTATAATAAGGATTTACATTATTTGGTTTCCAGAGTTTATAATCATTTTTCTAATAGAACTGTTACTAAAAATAGGCTTAGTAATATATTCGTAATTCGGCTTGGAGTCTCATCATCTCCGGCCTTCTTAATGAGTTCAGCCAATTATGCTTAGTTAACCCGGCCTAAGTTTCTTGTAGAGGCCCAATTTGAAGATTGAATAGTCTCAGTGTTTGTGATGATCCCCTTAGATGCTGATGTGTCTTGTCTTAATTGGAAGGGGAGATTGTTGCCCCCATACCCTTCATAATCGTGGATTCATTCCTTTCACTTAAATGCTTCTATATATTTATATATATATATTATATAAAGCCCATATAATTGATATTTATGATGCAAAAATGGGGTCATGCTATGCCCTTGTTCCAAAAGATAGATGCTCCATCTGTCCTCCTGATGATTTGTTATCTTAATCTGATTTATATAAACAATGCTTAGCTTCATTTCATCCATATTTTTGAAACCTATATCTGCTCCATCTTTAACCATACAAATCCTTCTTCCTTTTTTTTTTTTCGCTTACAATTTCCCTTTATTCCTTTTGTCTTGTTCTCAAGTACTTAACTAAAAATTAAGAGCCATTACAATTAATTAACTATATCTTAAATATATATAAATTTAATTAGTTTCGATGGTACTGAAACTCTAGACTGCATCATAAATTACAACAATAAAACAAGTCTATCTAACTATACGACCTTGTACTTAAATATATATATAGTCTATCTAATTATACGACCTTGTACTTATATATATATATATATATATATATATAGAATGAATGACAATTTTAGATGGAATAATGAAGTACCAAATTGATCTTTTAACTTTAAATTAAGTATTCCAAAATTAGGGTAGTGAATTATTTGGCATGACGCAGCCAAAAAAAGATTTTTTGTTCAATTTCTCGTGGAGTCAAATTCTCATCAGTACCAGTCAAGGAAGGGACATAAAGATAGAGAGAGAAAGAGGGTTTTGTTTTTTAATAAATAATAATAGTAGTTGAAATAATAAAGCAGCATAAGAAGACAAGGAATGGGAACAGCTTTCAAAGCATGTATTGAAATAGAGTAGGATTTTTTAAAAAACAAAGGGTTGTGGTGGTAAGTGGGTCCTAATCAAAACTAAAGGCAGAGTGTTTCATCCCAGACGGTCAATTATCCATGTCAACCCCACCTGGGGCTAGATCACCAATTTGGTGACATGACACATGCCCACTAGTAGTCAATTGGTTGAGAACTTGTCATACTTAGTGGTGGAAATTTTTATATATGGCTATAAAAATAAGATACACTATATGCGGAGTTACGAATAAAATTAAGGATGTATGTACATAACGAATAGAGCAAATGGGAACCAAAAAACAGATGGATGTATGTACTTACCGGTTCCTTCGCCGACCAACTCTCTGGTCCTCACACGCAACCAATCTCTGGTCGTCACTTCACCAGATATTGAGAAATAATTTTGATCGCCGTTCTGAAACTCATAGATAAATTCTCATAATTTCTGGTCCTCCACTCTTCTCGACCTTCTTCCTCCTTTTTCTTTTTCTTTTTTTTTCCCGAAAATTACCTTTTCTTCTTTTTCTATGAGGACGTGGCCTCCTTTAGCAGCTTCTTCTCCGCATCTGTCTTCTTCTCGGCCTTGAAAGCCATATTTTCCTTTGTTGTCTCCAATTTTTAGAAAAAACTTATCGTGTAATTAAAATTGGAATACGCGCTAGTGCTATTCTGTTACCTTTCTTTCTCATTTTTTTTTTTTTTTTTTTTTTTTTTTTTTTTAACAATAAAAAGTAGTCACACAACATCGACAAATCGACAAAGAACCCCAAAAATAACCTTATACCAACAAACACAAATAAATCATAAAATAAGAAAATAAAATTGAAGAACGGACGAGAAAAAACACCTAAACTTAATGAAGAATTCTGCACAAACAAAGACAAAGTTATCAACAAAATATCTTTGACACAACGTCCTCTTTCTGACGCCACTCCACTAGACTAGTCCAACTCTAACTCTCTCTCTCTCTCTCTATTCATCTATATAACACCGCAAACTCCTTTAATTTTTAATGAGCTACTACCTCTCTATTCACAGCTCAATCAACCAAAAATGGACACCCACGCTACCACTTCAACCCCTGATGATCTTGAAAATGCAACTTCTTACACTCTCCTATCGGACCAAACCCAATCAACTGGATCTCCGGCCAATCAACGCCGACCCAAGAAGGGTCTCACCTGTATCTTGCTCTCCACATTGGGTCTGCTGTCTTTGATCGTTTTGATCCTTAACCAAGCTACGGTCAATACCGATCCACCTTCTTCGATGTCCTCGCCGGAGACCTTGGAGCTGCCACCTTCGAGAGGGGTATCATTGGGAGTGTCGGAGAAGACTTTCCGGCAGTTTTCCGGCGACGGGAAGGTGTACCCGTGGACCAATGCTATGTTGTCATGGCAAAGAACAACCTATCATTTTCAACCCCAAAAGAATTGGATGAGTGGTGGGTACAAAACACAATCACTTTTAACTTTTTACCGGCCTTTTGCTATTTTATAGTACTCCATTATTGATACATATAAACATATATTATGGTTTTCTAATCCAATTTTATTGTCATTTTTCATGGTTGCTCTTGTGGGGAATCTGGTAATTTCTGCATCAGATCCTGATGGTACGTTTTCACATTACTCTGAATTATGTGTTTGTTAAACCAACAAGTGACAAATAAATGTTAAAATTTTTATTTATACATCAAGGTGTGATTGATTAACATCACATAATTCTATACCATATATCCATGTAAAAAGGGGCTAAATTACAATTATTCGATCTAAAATTTATGAATACTATATATATATACACACACATGCATATATAATATCTTTTAACAATAGCAACCCAGTTAAACGATCTCTACATATGCATATACAATATCTACATGTATGAAATGGGGGACATGATTGCATTTTTGTAGGTCCATTGTTCCACATGGGGTGGTACCACATTTTCTACCAGTATAACCCGGATTCTGCGGTTTGGGGCAACATAACATGGGGCCATGCGGTATCAAAGGACATGATCCATTGGCTCCACCTCCCTTCTGCTATGGTCCCAGATAGCTGGTTTGATTGTAATGGTGTGTTTTCGGGGTCCGCCACGATTCTTCCCGATGGTCAGATCATAATGCTCTACACTGGGGCCACCGGTGATTATGTGCAGGTGCAAAACCTTGCGCACCCTGCCAACCTATCTGATCCTCTCCTTCGTAATTGGGTCAAGTATGCGGGTAACCCGGTCTTAGTCCCTCCACCCGGTATTGCTCCCAAAGACTTCAGGGACCCGACAACGGCATGGCTTGACCCCGATGGGAAATGGCGGATCATAATTGGGTCAAAGGTTAACACCACGGGCATTTCGCTAGTGTATCAAACCACCAACTTCACAAACTATGAGCTGTTAGATGGATTCTTGCATGCGGTTCCGGGTACGGGCATGTGGGAATGCATGGACTTTTACCCGGTTTTGATGCCCCGGAAGAATGGTTTGAACACATCAGCTAATGGACCGGGTTTGAAGCACGTGCTTAAGGCAAGTTTGGATGATGACAAGCATGATTATTATGCCCTTGGGACATATGATCCGATTAGTGGTAGATGGACACCTGATAACCCGGAGTTGGATGTGGGTCTCGGGTTACGGGTGGATTATGGGAAGTACTATGCATCAAAGACATTCTATGACCAAAATAAGGATAGGAGGATCCTTTGGGGTTGGACTGGAGAAACTGATAGTGAATATGATGATCTTTTGAAGGGATGGGCATCTGTTCAGGTAATAATACTCATTCTAATCCTCCTCGTAACTTTTTTTGACTTATTATATTTATGAATAATATTTTAGAGTGGCCTGATTAGGGTGCATATGATTCGGTTTGGACGGACTTAAAAATTTTTTGGAATTAAATTATTCCTAACAGTTTCAGAAAATTTAGAACAAAACCAAATCATTTGACCAAAGGAACCGAACCGAACCAAACCAAACCATGAAACATCGGTTTGGTTCGGTTTGGGTTCGGTTCCCCTTTATTTATTTATTTATTGAAATATTCATATTTCAAAATTCAAATTTAAATCAAGTTAACTAACACATTCAAAACTGCTAATGCATTCACTTCTAAAACATAAATTAATACATTCAAAATTATTAATATATTCATTCTTCTCTCTTACTTCATAAACTAATTTTTGTGCACCCCTAAGTCAGACAACTCTGACTAAATAATTTCAGACGTGGTCACGATGTCATAAATATTTTCGACAGCATCAACCTCTATAATTACTCTCGAACTTCTTTTATATAATCACTCTATATTTAATTATTAGTACTACCATTTCAAGCAATTATTTGATCACATCTATTAAATACACTGACATTAATGCTATTTGTTGGACACTTGTTCAATCAATCAATGAATTTTATGCTTTAGTTTTTAGTCTGTCCCACCAGGCCACCACTTTCTGACTATATTGTTTACTTTGATTAATATTCTCTAGTCATAATCAGTTCTCTTTCAGTCATTGCAATAATTGAATTTGTGAGAAGCATTTCATACTGTTTGTGAATGATTTTTTTTTTTTTTTTTGACCTTTTCGAAGATTTAGTGAATCTATAATTATGTCTTATGTAGTCATTTAGTAAGAACATTGTTGCCTGAGAATGTTTCTCTTTCATATCTGATCTAAATTTATTTTCAGCCGAGTGTGAGAAGAATTCCCAAAAAAAAACTGAGAGGCCCCATTGTGATTTAAATAGCATTTGACTATATATATATATATATATATGCAGAATCATTGAAGAATATCATAAGCACTTTACAACTGATTTGCTTTTGGGATTGGGGATTAAGTGGTTTGGTCTTCACATGGTGTAGTTGTGGCCTCATAATTTTTTTATTTCAAAACACTCCCCCCAAAAAAACACACACACATACAAACATACACACACAAAAGAAGAAGAAGAAGAAGAAGAAAATATATGAAGAAAAGTTTAATCATGAACTCTAGCACTTAAATATGTGAAACCAAAAATATTCAATGGAACCAATACAAAATAAGCACCTCTACATCTCATGTGTGTTGTTTTTACTTGTACCAACTAGTAATTTGTTTTTTTTTTTTTTCTCTCTCTCTTTTCTGGCTAAATTAGAATGCGCAACATAAGTAAATACTGTAAACAGCTCATGAAAGCTCCGAATGAAATTATGAATGGCTAAATTGATTTCTTGTTGTGCTTCACAGACCATTCCCAGGACTGTATTGTTTGACAATAAGACCGGAACCAATTTACTTCACTGGCCTGTGGACGAAGTGGAGAGCTTGAGAAGAAAGAGCACCGAATTCAATGAGGTGGTGGTTGGACCCGGATCAGTTGTGCCGCTGAATATAGGCTTAGCTACTCAGGTCTCTGATTTGTTTTGCTAAGATTTCTGGATTATTACTGTTAAATTGTATATTTGCTAAAAAATTGGTAGTTTGGCGATGGTTGCAGCTAGACATAAGTGCCACCTTTGAAATAGATAAAGAGGCACTGGAGGCGACGGTTGAAGACAATGTGAACTACAATTGCACCGGTGGTGCTACTGCAAGGGGTGCCATGGGACCATTTGGCCTTCTGGTTATTGCTGATGAAACACTTTCTGAACAAACACCGGTTTATTTCTACATCGCCAAAGACACTGATGGGAGTGCCAAGACTTGGTTCTGTGCTGATGAAACAAGGTATGCTTCTCTACATATTCACTAGGAAGTATATCTTGTGCATTTGTAAGTTACTACTATACCAATTATCTGATTTTTGAATGATTTGTAAGTTACACAAGTGTGAAAACATTAAGATTGTACTTTGTGTTTTGGAGTTACTATTTCTTGAATCCAGAGTTATTTCTTGCTTAGAAGTTGCTCTTTTTCTTAGATTTCATGATTTAAAATATAATCAGATGGTTGAAATTCAGCTACGCGAGCAAAATATTGTAACGCCATATGTTTATCTATGCAGATCATCAAAGGCTTCCTATGTTTTCAGAAAAATTTATGGAAGCATAGTCCCTGTGCTTGATGGTGAAAAATTCTCCATGAGATTATTGGTACGTCACAATCTCTTATTATCTTTTTATTTCAATACATATTTATATTTAGCTAAACTGGAGCCTAAAGCTTGAGATATAGATGTAAGTAAAAGTTCTAAGTATATATATATAGTACTTCTAAATGCAAATTCTGCATCACAAATGGCTCCTTATTACTTCTACCAAAGGGGTTGATACTTGTCATATTATACATTAATTACCCTAAAATTTGTCAAACTTCAGTACGTTCGAATGAGTTTCACTGCAGAAATGTGTCTTAGAAGCTTAATTAGAAGAGAACACTCAACGATTTGTCTCCCGAAATTGGATTCAGGTTGATCATTCCGTTGTGGAGAGCTTTGCTCAAGGAGGGAGATCAGTCATCACATCAAGAGTTTATCCAACAAGTGCAATAGATGGCGCAGCGCGGCTATTCCTGTTTAACAATGCCACAGGATTGAAGGTCACAGCTTCACTCAAGATTTGGCAAATGGATTCAGCTTACATTCACCCTTTCCCCTTAGATGAGATACAATACTGAGTCCAAACTGTTGTTTTGATTCCTTTATTTTTTGTTTGGTTATGCAGAAAATATAAGGAAAAAAAAAAAACACACATAATATCTAGAATCTTGTGGCAGCCAAACATGATATTGTATCATTTCATTTTTCTGCTGGACTGCCATTGGAGGCCTAGGCATGTCCATTGGCAATATCTATTGTAATTCATCTGTAAAATAGTTTTGAGATTTTCCTAATATGGGTTATTCTTAAAATGGACTTCTTTTAGCTCATATTCAATTTGCTGATTTATCTAACCATGATGGTTGATGATAATCTAGTTACCATGAGATTCATACATTCACAGTAACAATCAATTACTTCTATACCCTATATTAGAAATGTAATATTCCTCTCTTAGAAATGTAATATTGTGACTTGCGCTACGCGGAATGGTAGTGGAATTTTAATTTGAAAAATAACTAGAGGGGAATGAATAGGTTCAATTTGTACTTTTGTTTGATTTTTGCTTATTTTAATTTTACTGAAATAAAACTAAAAATTGTTGGGTTCCACTCCCGTTATGCACACTATAACAAATGTGACCCCAAGGCGGTGAAAAAATTCTTGTCTTTTGGAGATTGTTATAGAGGATTACTTTCAATGTATTTTGAAGGGGTTATAACTCTTGTTGAGAGGCCTACTTTTATTGTATTTAACATGACACTTTGTGTGGAGAAATAAAGAGAGATTTCATTTTTTTTTTTATGAGTGATTGTGAACATGAAGGGTCGAGGGTGTAGACTGAAATCTGTGTGTAAGCCTCTATCTTGTGTAGTTTACAATCTTGAATGGAAATCTTGTTCTCCGTAGACGTAGGCGCGTATTTGCAGAGCCAAGTATAACTGGTGTTTCGTTTCTTTGAATGGTTGGTTTATTTGCTGGGAGTAATTGTTTTTATTTTCTAACAAATAGTATCAGAGCCATAGGCTTACACACATATTATTTGATAAATAAAATAAAATTGATTGATTTAGATTTTTTATCATAATGCTGGTATAGTTTGTCTTCGGCAATTGTGACAATTATGTGGAAAGGAAACATTAAAGACGGATGATATACTCTCTTGTCTAATGATAAAAGGAGGGACCTTGGATCTAACAACTGTTGGGATTGATTTGTATGCCTTGTTATAGTGAATTTCTATTTGGATTAAATTGACATATGTTCTTAATATATCTAAAATATTTATGCTTTATACAATTGATGAATTCAATGTATTATGTTTCGATTCATTATGAAATTGATAATGTCCACTTGATTACAAGAAATATTTATATGTATGTGATAACGATCGATACATGAACATATATAGTAATCATAAATAGTTCATAATCGGTAATTATTGATGGACTCATTATTAATTAAGATTTGAACCGGATCCACGTTAGGTTGAAATATATTGCGAGAACCGTCATATGCAATTGCTCCCTATCATTGTCACAGCATTTGACTATTAAGCATGAGAGAAGTATAGACTTTTTTATTAATTAGTAATTATTTCAATTTGTTTAGCGGATTCTTCGAAATCCATAGACTGATACTTTGGGTAATTATGTAATTAATGGTTAGAGGGTAATATTTTTAATATTTGTATCACTGCTGCTTGTGTTTATTTTGTATTGATTATGATTGAACACAAAGTAAATTCGAAAGCCTTCGTATATTTTTAGACAAAATGATTTTCTATATATTTATTTATTTAAATTATTATTTTTGGTAAACAAATATTTTATTGTGATCAAACCGGAAATAATCAAAGGTATCAAAATAAATATATATTAATTAAGTATTTGGATTGATGGCTTTATTTATCCGATAACTAATTATGCAAACAGGGTCAAAATGCAACATTGACTTAGAGGTTATTTATTATTTAATTGTAATTCAATTAATTTATTTTAGTATAGTAGAAATTAATTTATCAATTAATTGAATTGGGTCCATGGTATAATGGATCGGGCCAATTATTAATTCAATGTAGTCAAGAAAATAATTAGTCCAAATGATTCTCACTCATAGCCCAATTTGATATTGAAGGCCCATTAAATTTGAGATATCACGTGAATTTTAGAGATTGAGAAAAATATATTATCTTCAATTATTATTTTTATTTTGCCTATATATACATGGGTCCATGTATATTTGAGGTTACACCTTTGTATATTAATTTTTAGAAGACAAGAAAAGATTTTCTCTCTAAGATTTTAGAGTTAGTGTTCTCATCTGATGGAGGCTCCCACAAGTTAAGTTTTCCAAGATCATTCATGTAGGCTTATAGGTGATACCTAAATGCAATATTATTACCAACAAGATGGAGATCCAAGGAAGAGGCATCTAGCAAAGGGGTCAACAATAAGTGAGAAAATTCACTTTAGAGAAGAGATCTAAGGTTTACTCAAATCTTGATGTAAGTTTTCTATCTCTAATTGAATAGATTATCATGTTCTTCATGCATAAAACTTGTCTCTACACATGAATTAAGATCTTTATTTAAAAATCCCTCTAAAAGTTTTTAAAACTTCAGTTTTCCAACAGTGGTATCAGAGCTAGATTTGATTCATATTTAGAGATCATTTTTTTTTTTTTTATTGCAGAAAATCATCATTCATGGATCCAAATTTATATATATATATATATATATATATATATATATATTAATGTGTGATGATGATGATGTATGTAAATTTGTGATGGCTGATGATTATTTATACTTGGGCCATGGATGAAGTTTATATGTTAATTGAATGTAATTTTATCTTTGGATGAGTGTAATTAAGGCTTTGATTTAGTCATTTGAAAGATCAATGATGTAATTTTTTTTTCCATTATATTTCAAATGTAAAATTTATTTAAACCCATGTAATCTTCATCAAAGGTGCTATGAAGCTCCAAGAAGGTCCAAGAGCGTTTAATTTGGCTGCAAGAATTTTTTAGATTTTTTTTTGGAATTTTTTGGGCCAAATAAAGCATTCTGGAGTCTTTTTTAATTTTTCTGGCGATCTTCAAGTGGCAAAGGTGGCACCGAAGTGAGTGATAAGCGCCGAATATTGCATATTCAAGCACCCTTATTTGCATTAGTTAAGTCCATTAGTTGATCATTTTGTATATATTAGCTTCATTTGCGTGTTTTTTATTTTATTTTATTTTATTTTTTTCAGGTTATTCCCCAAAGATGGTTAAAAAGTGAAGTTTTGTTGAGTTTGTGATGAATCAAAGCACGCTGTTGCCGGGAACCTTCATTTTTGCCCAAGCCAATGTCCCATTGTACTCTTGGTTATCTCTGCAAAAAGAGCTAGCCGCGATCAGCGCATCAACGAACCGAGCCAAAAGCAGCTTGGCAGCAGTTAAGTTCGACTTTGTTCTTCATTTTCGACCCACCACACTTGAGAATTGGATTCGCATTAAAACATGACGTACTTATATCTTTGAATTAGCTTTCCAAATCATCAAACGGTTCATCATTTGGAGTTTGGAGCAAAGAGTTATGTCATTTTTACTCCAGGTGTGCAATGCTGAAATTTATAACCTGGCAGCAGTGAAGTTCGACTTTGTTCTTCATTTTCGACCCACCAAACTTGAGAATTGGACTTCCATTAAAGATGAGATACTTAGATCTTTGAGTTAGATTTCTAAATCATCAAACGGTTTGTCATTTGGAGTTCGGAGTAGAGAGTTATGGCCTTTTTACCAAAGGTGCGCAGAGCTGAGGACAACCTACGGGCGCCCGCAATAAACCCGCGGGCGCCCTCCAAAAGGGGTAGAATGCAACTTGCGGGCACCCGCAAGAAACACGCGGGCGCCTGCCAAAATGCAAGCAAGTTCGTGAACCCGCGGGCGCCCGCCGATCTGTAGACAAGAGAGCATGGGCTCCCTTTTCTTCACCTAATGTTATCCCCTTAATTAGGGGATTGCTTTGAAATTGTCTAGGGGCTTTAGGACAACGAATTTGGAGTGGATGGAAGGTTAAGGTTGATATATTAATGGCTTGAGGCTTTGTAAAAGAAAATTCTCACATTTTTGTAAGGTTTAAGGAGAGAAATATTGGGTTCTTGAGTGTATGGGCTGTTCTTGAGCTCTAGCTGCGAAAATGGAAGGGTTCTTCATCATTTCTCCTTCCTCCATTGCTCCTATGGGTAACTAACTCCCTTTCTAGGGAGGTGATGGTGCCTTACTTTGTAAGCATGATCTAGTTTTTGGTTTATTTTGGGGGAATGATGTATATATATGTTTATTCCACAATCTAGAGCATTCATTTTGATGTAATGAATTCTAATCTCTATAAATGATTATGTTGAAGCTATCGTCTTGTTTTAGATTATAATTTCTCATGATTGTATGGTTTGCTTTTTCATAGTGACAATAAAAATAAGATTGTAGAATGGTTTTAATGGCATGATGTTTAGGAAGGTTAATAGTCTATAGCTTAAGGCCTTCCTTTGATAGACTATTCTTGATTTCTAACCTCATGTGCTTTTTTCATTTGATTAAAGGCTTGATAATCTCTAGCTTAGTGAGCATGTCTAAGGCTACACCCTAGTTTAGATAGTCAAAGTATGTAAAACTTTGATAGGTTATTCTTACCTATTGATTTCATGAATTTCTTGAAGGTAATGTAGCAATTTTGTATCGTTACATTCGATGGTCATATATATATATTGTTTCCCCAAGTTAATCATATTCTAGCATGTTTAGAAGGTTGCTAGTGGATTCACTTCCCTAGTCCTCTCTACCTAGATTTCTCTCCTTTTAATTTTTTTGCAATTATTGTTTTATGCATAATTTAATTCCAATTATCAATTGACAAACCAAACAAAACTCTATACCCCATTTCGTCAAACTAAAAGTGAATTTAAAGACTTTGGTTGCCATAAACTAGCAATCCTGGTGGTTCGACTTACCCGTTCAATAGCCCTATTTTACAATGATTTGTGCTATTGCTAAGGGTTGATTATTATTGGTAGTTAACGAGACCCATCAATTTTTGGCACCGCTGTCGGGGATTGCAAACGGTTTTGTGACCGAGGTTTTAAAGATTACCTTTTATTTGATTGTGAATATTTTGTTTTGTGTATATATATATATTTTTTTGTTTTTTTGTTTTATGTGTTTCTGTGTGATCCTAGGAACTCAAAACTCACTAAGGAGAAACTGAAAATCTGAAATCTTAAGGACTCTGGGTAAGTGTTTGATGTTCTAGGTTTACATTCATTTT